CTATCTCTCTCTCTCTCTCTCTCTCTCTTTCTCAGGGCAAAGCCTACTATGTTTAGCTGCTGTAAGTCTATATATTTCTAAACAGGCGTCAATGGTGTGGTCAGTTTCCCCGGTCACTTACCCTGATCCAATTTTCTTTCTTTTCTTCCTTCCTTTAGAGTGATAGAAGAACAGCAGTCGGAGTGGAAGCGGCACAGGTGGCAAAAGATGAACACCAAGTTTCTGCGGGACGAGACGAACAAACAGCTGGACATTGTCCGAGCGCTGCCCGAGGACGTGTTCACCTGGGATGTCTACATGGGTCTGCATGAGTCTATCACTACTATACAGGTCGGTGATTTTTTTGTTTGTTTATGTGTGTGTTTGTTCGTTTGTGTGTGTGTGTGTTTATTCACCTGGGATGTCTGCATTGGGCTGCATGAGTCTATCCCTACCCTACAGGTTGGTGATTGTTTGTTTGTTTGTGTGTGTGTTTGTTTGTTTTTGTCATTGGACTACGTGCATATCGCTACCTTAAAATTCTATCTGGAATTTTAGTCCATTTTGAAATACTAAGTCCATGTGGTCAGAAACCAAATGTTCTAAGTGCTCTATAAAAATCGTAAGATTATTCAGAATCGTTATCAAGATTTTCAAAGAATTGCATTAGAAAAAGCGTGACATGTTGTCGACACAATATTTTTATGCCAAATTTCTCAAAACTAGGTACTGAGCAGATAAGCCTTTATATTTCTGGGGTAGTGATAAATCACATCGTACAGATGGTTGCTGGCTTTTTGTTTATTTTCAACATGTATAAGCGTTAATTTGTGTCAGTCGAATTGAGCTTTCTCTCCAGATTTAACCTCTGATAGCTTTATTTGTTTGTTTGTTTGTTTGTGTATATGTGTCACTACGTGGTAGCATCAGGCGCAGGTAAATTTTTGGGCATATGGGGTTATTGGTATCAGAAAGACTGTTCATTCGTCTTCTTTTTGGTGAAAAAAATATCCATCTATGTTGAATAGAGTTGATTATTTGCAATTGAAGGAGGTCAGGATCGCCTTAATTTTAGATGTCAAGGTAGCGAGATAATGGCCGCCAAAGTTTGGTAACTTCCATAGTCTGAGAGTCCTTGGAAACTGAAAATTTATATTTTTTTGTGCCTTCTATCAAGGTTTTTCTCTAAAATTCACACAGAAATATGTTTTTAAATGAACATAAAAGGTGTTGAGCCAAAAAAGAAAATTAGAAAAAAAATTGCTTATCGGCCAAAAAGTGCCAATTTCTGTGATTTCATTATTTTGACGAGCACCTGATTTCAACACGTTTTTTCCCCAAATGATTTTTAGCCCTGATTAATGACCCCAGCAACCTGACTATTGTTTATTTGCCTTTTTGTATGTTATTTGTGTGTTTATCCTCTTCCGATTGATTTCTAATTGCTTTGTTTGTTTGTTTGTTCATTTGTGTGTGTTTCTCCTAGGCATGTCTGCCTCTGATCGATGACCTTAGCAACCCAGCCATGCGGACCCGGCACTGGAAACAGCTGGTGCGAGTGACCGGCGGAGCGCTGACCATCGACAATGACACCCTGAAGAGGATGACCCTCAGAGAACTGCTCAGCCTGGGATTGCAGCGTGAGTGGGGGAAATGCTAGACACGTTTTTGAAAGACGTGTTGTGGTTTGTGAAAGATGTGTTAAAAGACTTGTTCCACTTTGTAAAAGATTTTTTAAAAGATATGTCACAATTTGTAGAAGACGTGATACAGTTTCTTAAAAATGTGTTAAAATACGTGTTACAGTTTGTAAAAGACGTACTAAAAACATGTTGCAATGTATGAATCTGACAAGATGAGAATATATAACATTTGTCACTGCTGACCCTTGGGTTTCAGAGCACGTTGACGATGTGAGAGCCATCGTCCAGCGAGCGGTCAAGGACCTGGCTATTGAGAACGCCCTCAAGACCTATGAAGAGGTGTGGCTGAGCAAAGTGTTTGAGCTGAGAGCTCACGTCAGGAACAAGGTGTCCGTCTCTGCCGACATCACACAGGTTTGTTTGTTGCTTCATTATGCCTTACCCTCCCCCCGCCCCCCCCAAGAAAAACAACACACACACACAGATGTACTGATACTCACGCTCATGCTCACACACACACACACACACAC